GTCTAGGAGTCCAAGGCCAAGGCCACAGTGAACTATGATCATGCTACTGCACCCCAGCTTAGACAACAAAGCAAAACCCCATCTCAAAAAAAGAAGAGGCAGAAAAGGATATAGATGAAGTAAAAGCTGCAGAAAGTTGATGACTATTGAAATGAGGCTGGGTGCTGCGCACCTGAGGGCTCACTGTATCATTCTACTTTTGTGTATGTTTGCAAACTTCTTTGCTAGATAAGAAATTCATCTAGCAGCAGCTCATGCCTGTAACCCCAGCACTTTGGGAGGCCAAGGCCGGCAGATCACCTGAAGTCAGGAGTTCGAGACCAGCCTGGGCAACATGGTGAACCCCCGTCTCTACCAAAAATACAAAAATTAGCTGGGCGTGGTGGCACATACCTGTAATCATAGCTACTTGGGAGGCTGAGGCAGGAGAATCGCTTAAACTCGGGAGGCGGAGGTTGCAGTGAGCCAAGATCACACTGCCGTACTCCAGCCTGGGTGACAGAGTGAGACTCCGTCTCAAAAAAAAAAAAAAAAAAGAAATTTAGAAGTGCGTCTGGTTTCCTTGTGAAGAGGAGGCAAGAGAAAAAGGGTGGAAGAAGTGCGAGTGGGTTTAGGGTCTGTGTTGCAAGCTAGTTCCTGTGCTCAAGTTTGAAGAGTTCTTGTGCTTTCAAGTTTGAAGACTCTCTAGGGTCTGGATCTAGTTGGCTTCAGGCTTTCCCTGACTGAGGAAGCCCCCAAGGTCCGCAGTCCAGCTTGGGTTACCCTCTCCTTCCCCACTTCTCACCGCCGGACACCTTGGCCCTTTTTGAAAGTGAGGCCCAGGGCGGCCCCAGCCCTGCCCCTCCTCCCAGCTCCACATCTGGTCCTGATGTCAACAGCCAGGGTGGGCGGTGGCCATGTTTTTCAGCTCCCGCCCAGCCTCAGGGGAGGGGTGGACTGCCCTGTTCCCACCCCTTACTCACAGTGACTGACACGGGTCACACAGGCAGTAGGCTAAAGGCCAGGAACAAACTTTAATTCCCAAACCGGACCCTTAAATCACAAGGACGTCAGATCTGGCTCAATCCCTGACAGGGTGAATTGGAACCCGGCCCCTACTTGGTCTCTAACCCCTTCCACTGGGTCTAGTGGGGACTCTGATGCCGAATAGGGGCTGTAGATCAGTGAGGATGTACGTGTGTGTGGAGGGGTAGCAGGAGCCGCTTGGTTACATAAGCACGTGTTGGGGTGGGGCAGGTGTCCCTCTGGTCTGAGGGTCCTCGTATGTCCAAGGTCTCCGTGCATAATTGCAGACCCAGATGTCTCTGCATTTGGGAGAATCAGGGTGCTTAAAAAGGGGTGACTGAGGGCTGCACTTGCGAAGGTGGCTGGGGACTGTGCCTCCGTGGGAGCGGCGTGTCTAAGTGGGAAGATACTCCGGGAAGCCAGGACGATGTCATATGTGGGTAGCTGTGTGGACCAGTGGTTGGGGGTATGTGGACATCGGTGGTCACAGGCTGGGAGAGTGGTGCAGCCACGAGAAGGAGCATGTGTCAGGGCCATAGACAGTGACGGTCTCTCTGTGGCATGACTCAGGAGGGGGCATGCTGTTCCCTGTGCCAGGCACCACAGACAGGGACACTGAGAAGTTTGATGAATGGAGAGGGCGTGTGAGCTGTGAATATGTGTGGCTGTTTCTGTGGCTTATAAAGGTGACAGGCAGACTCCCACATGCCGGGTGAAGATCCAGGGGAGTTGGTGGGTTACCTGGCTATGTGCTCGTGATTGCAGATGGACTATATTTATGTCTGTGGAAAGCTAACGCAGCAGTTGCTTTGTGGCTCTTGTAGGTGTGTATGAGTGTGTGGTTGTGCATCTTAACAGCAGCATGAGTCAAGTAAGTGAGTGTGTGGGCCGTGGGACAGTCTCCGGAAAACAGCTGCAGGTGTGTAATGTGGCTGCCTGCAGTGTACACTTTGGAGACATTAACCCTGTCCATACCCACTGTTGAGGCTGGAGGCACCGTCCCGGGCACCCACCACCTCCAAGTTGCCTTCCTTCATGTGGTCTGCATGGTGGAATGAAGGTCAGTGGGACGGACTTGCAGTTGGAAGGCTGGGGGGATGTTGAAAAGGCCACTGATGGTGGGCTTGAGGCTCAGGGAGTCCAGTGGGCACGAGCTCTCCAGGGAGAAGGCTTGCAGGATGGTGGTGAAGAAGAGGAAGAGCTCTGCTTTTGCCAGGCCCTCTCCAAGGCAGACACGCTTCCCTTGTGAGGAGAGAGAGAGAAAGGGCTGAGCCAGTCCTCCTCACACCTAGGCCCACGGGGAGAACAGGGGGGCCAACAGTAAGCCCAGGGTGCAGAAGGGTGCCCCCAGCTGGCACAGATGCCTGGAGTTTGCCAGCGCCTGCTCGTGATACCCAAGGCTGCAACAGATACCTAAGGAGAAGGGCAGGAACGCCTCATGCTTCCTGAACCGTCCATCTGCATCCAGGAAACGATCTGGGTTGAACTCTTCTGGGTGCTTGAAGATGCTGGGGTCATGCAGGATGGAGCCAAGGAGGGGAAAGACCTCTGTGCCCTGAGGGGAAATAATAATCAAGCTACAAATCCCTTCCCACTCCAGTCTATTCGGTCCTCGAGTATGGAGCACAAGTCTGGGGTGCCAGGGACACGAGTTTACAAACATAATGGCATCAACATTTGTTGAGTGTTGAGTGGCATGCAGCAGCTCATGCCTGTAATCCCAGCCACGTGGGAGGCTGAGGTGAGAGAAGCATTTGAGCCCAGGAGTTTGAGACCAGCCTGGGCAATATAGCAAGACCTTGTCTCTCCGAAAAATGAAAAAATTAGCCAGGCATGGTGGCGTGAGCCCATAGTCCCAGCTGCTCAGGAGGCTGAGGTGAGAGGATCACTTGAGCCCAGGAGTTCAAGGCTGCTGTGAGCTATGCTTGTACCACTGCACCCCAGCCTGGGAGGCAGAGAGAGACCCTGTCAAGAAAGAAAGAGAGGAAGAGAGAAAGAGAGGAAGGGAGGAAGGGAGGAAGGGAGGAAGGAAGGAAGGAAGGAAGGGAGGAAGAGAGAGGGAAAGAAAGAAAAGGAAAGAAAGAAAAAGGAAAGAAAGAAAAGGAAAGAAGGAAGGAAGGGAGGAAGA